CCTCACAGTTGCTAAGCAGGTGCTTTACCACTTGAGCCACTCTGCCAGCGCTCTCTCTCTCTTTTTTTTTTTTTTATTAAGCAGAAGGGTTATTACATAATAATACCAATTATTCCCATGGCTGGATGCAGAAGTCCCCACTTCATATATAATGCATATACTTCATATGTGTATTAGCATATAATAGCTATACAGGGGGTACATGTGCTTACCATATATCTTAGATAGACTCACCCCTCCATCATTCTCCCTCATCTCCCTCACACCCTTAGAACAATTTCAACAGGTTTTATTCTTCTATCTTCATGTATAAATACAAAATACATGTACCATAGTCTCACCCCCTTTCCTTATGCCCACCCCCTCCCACAGGTACTCACCCCTGGAAAAGACCTATTTTACCCTCCTGTCCTATGTTTTTTAAGTGTATATTGATAGTCCAAGGGGGTTTTACCTTGTTACTTCAGACCTGTATATATTGTGCTTTTATCAAATTATTTATTATTTATTATTTATTCTTTCTCTATCACTGTGCTCCCTTAATATTCAACAGTTTGCAGTGCAGTATCTTATGTTATATTCATATATAGATTAGTTGTTTCAGTATTTCTTTCTCTAACATTTTCTTTCCCTCACCCACCTCTCGTAGTCCCTTCAGAGAGACCCACTAATACAATCTTGTTCTTGCTCTCACTATATGTATGTATGTATATATGATCATATATGCATTTATAGATACATTTAACTTTTAGGTCTAGCTTTCACTTACAAGGAAAAACATGCAACCTCTTACTTTTTAAGCCTGGATTACTTCATTTAACATGGTGTTCTCCAGTTCCATTCATTTACCTGCAAATGACGTCATTTCTTCTTTATGGCTGAATAAAACTCCATTTTGTATATATACATTTTCTTAATCCATTTATCAGTCATGGAAACATCTGGGCTGTTTCCAAAGCTTTGGCTATTGTGAATGGTGCTGCAATAAACATGGGTGTGCAAATGGCTCTTTTGTATCCTGGAGTACATTCCTTCGGATACGTGCCCAGGAGTGGTATCCCTGCCAGCTCTTTTTTGTGTTGGGTATTTTTGAGATAGGGTCTCGCTTTTTTTGCACAGGCTGGCCTTGAACCTTGACACTCTTTCCTCCCCCACCATCTTTTCCCCCCACCCCCTACCCCCACCATCTCTGCCTCCTGAGTAGCTAGGATTACAGGTGTGAATCACTGGTGCCCAGCTGAATAAAGCAAACTTTCAATAAAACAAAAAATTCATCCAAAAGATGGCAGTGAGAGGAAGAGGGGAACAAGCAACGGATACGATGAATAGAAAACAAATAGCAAGGTATTAGATTGAAACCTCACCATGCTGACAGATCCCATTGTAGCTGGTTTGTCACAAAGTAAAGGCAGCTTGTCAGACTGCATGAAAATCCGTACTCAGATGTATACGGGCTATAGTGAACCACTTGAAATTTAAAGGCATAAACAGGCTAAAAGTGAAAGAAGGATAAAAGATACATAGTTATAACACTGGAAAGCAAGCTGAAGTTGCTATAATAACATTCAACATACTGATTTCAGAACAAAGAAAACAAAATCAGGATAAAGACATTCATAGTGATAAAGAGGTTAACTTAGTAAGAAGGCACTCCCTTTTGTTACAGGTTTCATTCTGTTTTCACATATGAATACAAAATACATTCACCACATTCACCCTCATTCACCCTTTCCTTATGCCTGCCCCCTCCTCGCCCCCAAGGAAAACACTTCACTTTTATGCACCTAACTGCAAGGCGAAATGGACACCACTAAGTGGCACCCGAAGCACTTTGTCAGTGATTGAAAGAACAGAAAAAGCTAGTGTCAGCACTATAGACCTGCTCAACTTTACTGACTTGATAAAGCTCTCCACCCAACACATTCTTTTCTAGTGCATATGGAAAGAATATGGATATTCTTGTGGATATGAATATTCAGTGAATATTCACTGAATATCAAGTGTCTTAGTTAACTTGAACATGTTCAAATCATTCAAAGTAAATTCTCTGACAAAAATGGAACTAAGTTAGAAATCAATAAAAATATCTAGAAAATTGGCAGTTATTGGGTGACATACTTCTGTACAATCTATGAATGAGTTAAGGAAGAAGCCAAAAGAGAAAACAAAGCTTTTTTTTTTCTTTTGAGCCACTCCACCAGCCCTTTTATGTGATGGATTTTTTTGCTTTTTGAGATAGGGTCTTGAAAGTGAGGGCTGGCTTTGAACTGCTATCCTCCAGAGTAGCTAGGATTACAGGCATGACCCAATGGTACCAGCCAGAAAGCTTTTTGAATGGAGTGATAATGAACCCAGCACATCAGAATTTGTAGGATGTCATGAAGGCTGTACTCACAGGAAATTTTAATGCTAAACACCTAAATTGAACTTTTTTTTTAAGCTGTCAACCACTGAACTCTGCTTCCACCTCAGGAAACTAGAAAAATGAGTGAGTGGCTCAAGCAGTAGGGGCCTGCCTAGTAAGTGTGAAGCCCTGAGTTCAAACCCCAGTACTGCCAAATAAACTAGAAAAAAAGGAGAGCAAATTAAATTCAAACGAAGCAAAAGGAACAAAATAAGACCAAAGTGGGAATTAATCATAGGAAAATAGGGGAAAAAATTAAGTCAGAGCTGTCTTTTTGAGATCAATAAAACTGATGAGTTCCTTGCCAAACTGATGAGAAAAAGAGTGAAAAAATGTAAATTCCCAACTTACCTTTTAGGGATTAGGAATGAGAGACATTTTATCATTGCAGTGTTGATAGTGAAGGGATATCAAAGAGGTAGTACAGTGACTTTATGCCAGTAAACATCATCATAAACCACTAAAAGCTCACTTAACAAGACATTTTAAAACCTGTTTGGCTCTATTAAATAAATTCAATGTGTCATTAGAAGCCTTTCCACAAAGAAAACCACATACCCAGGTGGCTTTACTGCTGTATCTTACCAAACATTTAAGGAAGAAATAATAGCGATTCCATACATACTCCCCAAGAAAATTCTTGAGCGAGAATGCCAGCATTGCTCTGACACTAAAACCAGACAAGGAATTAGAAGAAGAAAAAACTATGGACCAGTCTGTCACATAAACATAGTTACAAAAAATTTTAACAAAATTTTAGCTAATTGAATTCCCACGAGGGAGTTCTGCCTTATAAAACCAGTGGGCTTAGGGTGGGTTTGTGGCTCCATAGTTATCTGGGACAGAGAGAGGCTCTGGTTGGTCTGTGGTGTTATCCTCCCTTTGGGCTCCCTGCTGGCAGTGCTTTCACCTGGTGCTTTGAATCTTGTCAGATTTCTGCTGGAATTCACCAGTATCTACCCCTTCTTGGGAGCCCTGAAAGCAGCTGGGGGTGGGCAGGAGCAGGAACGAGGCCCATAGCAATTCCCTGTTGCAGTGGATGCAACATGTGCAGCCCTGTATAAGACACAACCTGGCTGGACACAGCAGCACAGCCTGCCCAGCCCCTCCTGTTACTGTGGTCCCCAGCCCGCTCTTCTGTCTTCTAGCAGCAGCGGCTGCTTTTGCCTGGTTTTGAACGTCGGGAAAGAGAAGCACATGGCATGTGTGCAGTTGTGTCTACCTTCTTTTTCTTACACTCAGGTTTGGGAGGCACACTGGGTGCTGTGGGTGAGTTGCTCACATTCACTTCTGGGTGGATCTGGGTGCATTCCAAGAATTCTTCCTGGGGAGGAGCACTCTGGCTGTCAGGACAGTGCTGCTGCAATGTCACAATGGTGTCGGGAAGCACGTCTCTGTCACAAGGATGCCTTGGGTGGCAGACATCTGTGTTTGACTTTAAGGATTGCTGCCAAGCCACCACCTGCAGGGGCTCACCTGGTTGGGCCTGCTTGTGGTGCACAAGTGCACCTCATCCTTGCCAGCACTGGGTAATTTGTCTTTCCGTTTTGGCAGTCGTGTTGGTTGTATTAGTGTCACAGTATGCTCCGTGTTTCCCTGAAGAAGGAAACTGAGCACATTTCTGTGGCTGTTGTCCATTTTCTGTTGCATAGTCTGCTCTTCTCATTTTATGTTCTGGGTGTGGGTGGCTCTTTGTTAGGTTGCACACACCATGCCTTTGTGCATGTTCTGGGTAGCAGATACTTCCCAAGATGGACTTGCCATTTTCACCATTTTTGTTTCGTTGAGACATGGTCTTGCTGTGTAACCCAAGCTGGCTTCTAACTCTGGATCCTCCTGCCTTCGCCTCCCAGGTGTTGGGATTATAAGCCTGTACCACCATGCCCACCTGACATTTTCATTCTTAATGGTTCCTTGATAAACAGATATTCTTAACTTTATTATAGTCTAGTGCCTTAGTTTTTTGTGTGTGTGTGCTGGTTTTGTCTGATTCAGACATCTTTGCCCACAGATACCAGGTTTTCTCTGTGTTTTTTATAAAAGCCCTCTTGTGTCACTTTTAACATTCATATCCACAGTTTATCAAGAATTAGTTTGTGTCTTGGATGAGCATAGGGTCAAGGTTCACTTTCCACACGAGTATCTGGCCTGCATAGTGCATTTGTGAGAAGCTGTTCCTCTCTCAAGTCAGGAGGTCTGTATGTACCTGCCCTGTCCAGGTCCATGCCATGTGGTTTGTGCATGCTTTCCTGTCCCCACAGTGACCTCTGGGTGTGTGGTGGTATCCTGAGCTAGGTACACAGAGGTGCAGATATAGGCACAAATGAGGGCAGGCCAGGTGATCCTGGGTACCCTCCAGCCCTGCAGATTCTAAGGTTCATGTACACCTGCCTGGCCTAAAAGAATGCTGGGCAGCTGACCAGCAGGTCCTTGTACCTCACGGAAGGTGCTGGATACGAGGAGTAACCCCATGGCTTGAGCTGCTCCTCACTTGGGCCAGCCACTGGGCAGTGAGGGTGGGCAGAGCTGTGACTGTTGTCCCACATTTTCCAAGTCAGTGCTCAGTTACTTCTCCTCTCCCTAGTGTGGTCCCTTCCTGTCTGATCCTGGAGGAGGTGTCCTGATGATCCTCTGACGTCTGTCTACCTTGGGCAGTGGGAAGCAGATGGCAATGTCCCAGACACAGGACTACGAATGCAGAAGCCACCATGTTGATGGCCAGGAGCCCAGGATTCCAGGGTCGAGCACCAGGTGAGGAGGCACTGTCCACTCCTGCTCAGGTGTCCCCAAAGGGTGGGGGAAACAGCCCTTTTTAGAGAAGGCAGCATGGATATAGGGCTTTCCCCAGCCTTATACTACATCTGCCACCTGCACATACCTTCTCACAGGGATTTGCTAGTGGTTGGCCTCCCACCTGTGCAAGTCCCACCACCTCTGCAAATCCCATGTTCCCACCACAGTCCTCACTGCAGCAGTGCATGTCATGGTTGCTAGAGGTCAGTGCATGCCCCTCAGGGACCTTACAGCCTGGGCTGGACATATGAGCCCCTGTGCTGAGCTACATTGGTTGGCCCCTCTGGGCATCAATCCATGAGAAAGCCCACAGCCATAGCTCATTATTTTTTTATTTTAATTTTCAACTTTTTATTGGGAAATAACTCCGTACTTAAAGAGAAGTTGCAAGAATAAGAACAGTTCCAGGAATGTTTATATGCCCTTGCCTGGAGTTGTTAGAAGCAGTCACTCAATCTCTTTTTTTGGGTCATTTTGGGGAGGGTCACACATGTCCTGCCCTAGGCCTCTAATCCTTGAGTGTGTGTCTGTCAGGTGACTCTCGTGTAACTGGAACACACATCACTGTGAGTAGATCTGATGTTGACACAAGGTTTTGATGTGCTCCAACATACTTGTCCCTTGTGCTAGCTGATTCCCAACGTCTTCTAGTGCTTCCTGACCCCAACCCCTGTGCAGTACAGGATTCCTCAGCCAATTTGCTTCTGGCTTCTGAGTCTCCTTGGCCTTTTCTTTTTCTTTTTCCAGGGCCTTGTGCTTACTAGGCAAGTACTGTACCACTTGAGTCCCACTCCCAGTCCTTCCTTAGCCTTTTTTAATCTGGGTGATATCCATAGCTTCTCCCTGAACCATTTTCCAATAGCTTATTCAGTTAGAGGGACTGAATGCCCTCTGTGCATTGAGACATGTTAAGATACTTGGTTATGGCCACTGCCCCCATTCTCATCTCTGCCACACACCTGTTGCAGGTAGGACCCTCCTATCTTCTGGTGAGCCCCTCTGTTTCTGTTAAGAGAAGAGGGTCATTGTGGCTTCTTGCTTTCCCTTCATTCTTACATAAAAGACATTGTACTCTATGGCTCTTTGTGCATCCTGTTCTTACTTAACATTCCTGGGATTTGCCACCTTCACCATCGAGGTTGTCTTCCATTTTCACACCTTCCTGGACCAATGTTATATGTTCCCCCAGATTATTCAGCCAGTCCTGTGTTAGACACTTAGGTTCATCCGGGTACAGGTATTGCTGCACTGAACAGCCTGCACCTGTGTAGTTTTCTGCTTTTGGAGACAGATCTTCAGGTACGTTGTAGAGGAGGAAATGCTGGGTCAAAGTGGTGCTGTTGGCCCTGTGCCTGCACTGGGCCTTGTGTTTGCCCTCCATTGTCTGCCAGGCCTCTGACTGCTGTGGGGCAGGGTCTTCCTACAGCATGGGGTCATGTCTCTGAGGATGGGCCAGGTGGGAAGATAACATCTTCTGTATGTCACAGTTTACTTTGTGACTTGCTCTTATCTTTTGCCCATTTTTCCATATTGTTTTTTATCTTTTCATGCTCAAATTTGTACATTGAAGATATGAACCTGCTCTATGTAATTTATGTTGTAAATATTTCCACTAAATATGTGTGCAAAAAGCCAAGATCTTTTTACTTGTGGTGTTTTTTGCCATATAAAAGTTTATAAAGTTTTTATATAGTCAGATTTAACAGTCTTATAGTGTATCTGTGTTCTCTGAGACTTTAGAGGAATGTACCATAGCTTTTCATAGCACTGACATACTTTTGATTTTTTTTTTTTTTTTTTTTTTGGTGGTGCTGGAGGTTGAACCCAGGGCCTCTTGCATGCTAAACAAGCACTCTCCCACTGAACTACATCCTTAGCCCCATAGCTTTGTTGTTGCACAAAGAGCACATACAGTGCTGAGTCTTTTGTGTGAGAATCTTGGAATCCACTTAGAGTTTATTCTCCTGTGTGGTATGAGCCATGGACCTTACTTTTTGTTTTCTAGTACCTCCAGTTGTCCCTGCACCATTATTAAAGGCTGCTTCTCTTTACCCTTGACCTCACATCTCTGGTCATGTCCTGGGTGTCTGAGTTGATTCTGTTGACCACTGTCACATGCTGGCCGCATGCTTGATAGAGGCTGTTTCCAGTCTTTCCCCACAGTTCCCACTGTTCATGCTTCCCCATGTGGCATAGTTGGAATGGGCAGAGTTCCCAACAGTGAGTATCCCCCACACCCCCAAAAAGCTCTAAGTTCCCCCATGGATAGGCAGTGCTGAAGAATGTCCTGAGCCTGTGCCCCTGCACTGTCAGTGTGGTTATGGCCTGCCAGGACTCCTGGCAACTGTGTCTATGTGTCCAGCTTCTGGGCAGAGCCAGATCCTCTCTGTGGTGCCTACTAGTTCCTTCCTGCCATAATACCCCTGCTCTGGCCAGAGTGTGCATCTGGCCAGTGGGTCAGTCTGTGTGGATTTAGCATTTGTCTTCATGTATGTGGTGAGATTGGGCATTCCCTCAGGGTCCTACCCCCTGGGCTACTCTGCTGGAAAGTCGCTCTTCCCGTCAATTCTCCTGCCTTGGCCTTTCTGGTGTGCAGATGCTCCTGCAAGTTGCAGAAAGAAGCTGTCTGTTGGAAGAGTTTGCCTTGGTCTGAGCTTTCATTTCCATGGTGGTCTTTACTGGACAGACATTCCAGCTCCAATGTCACCTTTTCCTTGAGGCTTTGTGTCCTGAGGTGGAAGCCCTGCCTGCCCGAGGTCATGAGTGCTTCATGTCTGTTCTTTGGCAGATTTTGCATTTTCTGTTGATTGGTGTGGACCTACGGTGTCCACAAGGACAGCTAACTATCCTAGCCCTGTTGGCTGGATTCATGCCTCCTTGGTTTGTGAAGCTTCTTGTTACTTCAGCTGGCAAATCTGCCAGGAGCAGCAAGGGCTCTCTGTCCACTTGTCCATTTGCCTAGGTCCCAGCCTCGACATACCACCCTTTAAGATATTCAGAAGTGGCTCTTCTTTCATTTGGTCTTTGGTACAAATGACCAAATTATTCTGCCCCTCTCCCAAAGAGATGTCCTGTTGGGATTTTGACTGGAGGTGCATTGAAATGTGATTTGTTTGGGGAGCTCTCCCAGGAGGTAGTAACCCTGACTGCAGTCATTGACTCAGGCTTCCTGATGCATTATTGTCCCATGAAGGCCAAGGTTTCCGCTGACACAGAGCAGACACTTCCTTCTGTTCTGTGCTCTCCATATTCCCCTCACCTGGAGTCCTACTATTCACGTTCTTGAACTTGGGCTGTTGGTCATGAGGTCACCCCTCTTTCTCCTTTGGGGTATTGTGAACCAGCAGTGGCAAAGCCTGAAGGGAACTTCCACAGGTCCTTACATCTGACCATGTACCAGGCATGAGAAGCACAGCCTAGTCTGTTGGTTTTCTTTGAGCAGGGTGGGGAGCACTGCTCTGCACGTGCTGAGGTTTGACAGAATCCCTTGGGCCAGATCCTGGAAGAAGGAGAAGACACCGTCAGGGCTAGATCAAGAGCACATGCTCCAGTCCCCATGGGACACAGGTGGCCAGAGGGACCAGCTGGACTGGAGGTCCAGAAAGACAATTTGGACACGATGGCCTATCTAATGATGTCTGTTGAGGGCCTACAGCAGTGCTGGCTGTTTCCTCTGTTCACGTGTCACCTCTGAGGGTGAGTTCTCAGTAGCTACGAACTCTCCATGTTCCAAAGTGCTGGGGTGTGCACTGTGTGCAGAGCTGCACCAGGCACCCTGGGGAAGGAGGCCCGATCTGCTCCAAGGGCCCCACACAGCCTTCGTGGGCACCATGTCTTTCTGTTTCTCCCTCATTCATTATTTGTCCACTGGTGAGTATTTGCTGAGTTCCTTCAATGCCAGACTCTGATGGAGGAAACAGTACAGGAGGAAGCAAAGGGTGTCAGGCAAGGGCAGCATGTAGGTGTCACAGACGAACCTCCCAGGGGCAGTGAGGTGGCAGTGTGAGAGGGTGCAGGGCCATGGGCAGTGCAGGGCAGGGCAGCAAGGCCTCAGTGCCGTCCCCCCCCTCTACTGCATGGCAGCCCCTGCCCACATTTGCTTTGCTTCTGTGCAGCTGAGGCTCAGGCTGCTCCTTTTCAGGGATTAGGAAGTTTCGTGTCTGCCATTCTGTGTGGCCCTCTGTGGTATGTCCACAACCATTGGTGTGGTCATACATGTTGCCTTTAGGGACCCAGTAAGGACAGAAAGAATAGCAGCCACATGAAGAAAATGTCCAGGGAGTAGAGTGGCCCATTGGACTCTGGAGTGGTGGCAGACAGACACTATGGGAGAGGAAGGTTTGGGAAGCCTTGGGCTCCAACATTGGTCAGTGGAAGAACAACAGGGCTGTTGGGAAGACTTGGGGTGCACAGTTGGGGGCTATGGAGAAGCTGCATGCTGTTGGACTGGGCCTGGGGCTGACTGTCTCACCTCTCACTCCTCATACCCCCACCTGTCTTTCAGAACATCTGAACTGGCTGTGAATGGCCTAACTGGGCTCTTGCACTTCCAGAGCTTCCTCACTGGCTTCCTTGGGTCAGAGTCTTGCCTAAGCTGCTCTTGCCTGCAGAGTCACTCTGAGGGCTTCTTGTTACTGATGGGATTCACATGCCTCAAAAGTATGATTTAGTGAGTTTTAGTATCTTTGCTAAGTTGTGGGGCCATCACCACTGCCTCCACCCAGAGCATTTGTACATGCCAGGCAGAAACCCCACACCTGATGCTGCCCCTCCTGCTCCCCTCCCCTGCCTGTGGTGCATCAGCCTACTTTGTGTTTCCATGGACTTGTCTCCTCTGGACAATGTAAACAGCAGGTGCCTTTGTGTCTGGGTTTGTCTCTCAGCACAGTGTCCTCCAGGTGCCCTCGTTGTAGTGGCCGAATAACACACCTGTGTGGAGAGACCGACCACATTGGCCA